GGGGAGGGGGGGCTGTAACTAAGGTCAGCAAAAACTACACACGGGCAAGTTCAAATGTATTATGTTGTAAAATCATAAGATTTTTTTGTTGGAGGGGGGCTATAGCAATTCTAGAGAGGGCTAAGCTCCCCAGCCCTCTCTATTTGCGCCTGTGTTAATACCTACACTAGTACACTATAGCGCGGAAAAATGATTACAGCTGTACCTACTTTTGGTCTCCATTAATCACTTAATCTATCTAATTCTATAAGATCTATCGTAGATTATCGAATAACTCTATAGATAGAGGGGAGTAGCAGGGATGTATTTTCGGTGCACTTTTTTATCACGTTTATAGTAAAGTTAATATGAGCGGATGTGGCTATAGGTGGTGGTTCCTATAGGCTATGCATGTGGCGTGGAAATTATATATTATAATAAATAATAATAATATTATATTAATTGGATTTTAAAAGTTAAAACATATTTGTATACAATTTACCTACATCGAGAATAATAATTAATAATTACCTATGATATGTAATAATGTTATTTATTTTGCTAAGTACATTATATTAAATATTAATGATTTATGTAATCTATGAGTATAATGATTTTCTAATGATTTGAATTGCGTCAAACTTACATAGGCGCAAATAGGGGGGGGGGGCTTAGGAGGTATTAGCACTCGCAACTTTAAAATTAGCACCCTCAAATAATGATCGTGCTTACGTATCAAAAAATTCTTCTTTCAAAAAAAAAAAAAAAACTAAAATGACAAAATGCATAGCATAAGCACCCTTAGGTTATTTTTATTGAAATTACGCCTATGCAAACTTATGAAGATTCCTATGATTTTTTTTTTAAATGCCTTTATTAAAATACTTTACTTATTACTTTCATGTTTAAATTTTAYTWTACTACAAAGGYCATTGATGATTTGCATATTTTTTTAAATCTAGAATATAATATGTTTAAATTATTGTTTACATGTCTGCTTTTTTATAAATTTATAATTTTTGGTTTTTATRGTATTATAAATTCAGTTCATCAAATATCCCTCATAAATATATTTATATAAAGAAAATATTAATGCACTATTCCTAAGTTAAAAAAAATTTTAGTTTGAAAAAATGTCTGTAGCTATTAATTAATTAATGTACGAGTATTTTATGATTTAAAAGCTTTCAAACAGATTTAAAAAACTTTAAATAGAGTTATGTACTGATGCGGATAAAATKAAGTTACCTATACGTTTGTTTTTCGTTTCAACGCGCATGTTGCATGTGCTTACCGTCTCCAAGATCCTCTTCTTGCGTTTCTCGATCATTTTCATCACCATGATCGTGGGGCTGATGATCAGCATGATGACCGCGATCGCGATCATCACGACGCCGGCCACCACGGCAGGCGCGCCGTTTTCGTCGAACGATTTTTCCACCTCGGGCGCCCTGTGCTGATGGTGGCCGGTGTCCGTGGCCGCGGTCGATGTCGCGTTGCCGTCGCCGAACGCCGCGGCCGGACCGCCGTACGGTTTGCTGCCGTACGATGACGACGGCGGTTGCTGCGATGTGGTAGCGTTCACCTGGTTCAGGCCTCTCCGCAACAGCATCGCGCTAACCGTACACCAAGCGACCACTTGGGATACCATGACCAAGTATTTGGCCAACGCGTTGCCATTGATCGGCATCACGCTCGCTCTTCGGTTTCTCCGCAAACGTKGCTGTCCATAGTTTCTGAAAAAAAATCCAGAACCGCACAATAAGTACGCGCATCTATCGTTCTCATAGGCGCCCGCAGAAATTTTTCTAGGGGGGGGGGGCAATGTTAGGATTTTAGGATAAATATTATAATTTTACTA